AGCCGCAACCAGTGGGGATCATCCTCTGCCTCAAGTAGCTGCCGCTTGCATCAGACGAATCGAGAAGCTCGAGATGGACGTGGGGTAATGGGCTACTGCAGCGTTGTCGAGTCGACCTGCAACATTCCTCCGGAAGCGACCCGTCGTGGTTGTGCGACAATCGACCGTCATCGCAAGTGCCGCTGGCCGGCCCAAGTGGTGCCGTCATTGGCCGCCGCGTCCAACCGGCCATGTCGGCGTCGAATTGCCACCAATCTCTTGGCGGCCAGAGCTGCGGTCCGAGTCGAGCGCCGGCTTCAAGCTATCAATCATGCAGACTGTCCCCGTGCCTCAAGCTCATATCATCCAGCGGGCCGACACCGGGAGTCCCATCTGCATCCGTATCGAGCGGGGGTCCATGGCTTACTACGGCACTTATCTGCTTAAGCCGCCGCGCCCGCCTTGTCTGTGTCGCCTCGAAACTGTCGCTTGAAGAACTCGATGTAGCTAATTGGTCGGCCTCTCGCGGCACCCAGAAGGTCCTGCAGTCCTCCGTAGACAAGTCCGACAATCAGGCCCTTCTTGGTCGTTCGGGCAGCCATCGGCAGCGAGAAGCGATCTGCCCATTGTTAGCGGATCTCAAGAAACCGCGACGATCGACCCACTCCACAGGCTGAGGGCGCCGGCCACCGTCACACAAGACGTCACGGTGTTGAGGAGGTCGGCCGTGCCACGATATGCGTCAAACATGTTTTCGATGCTCAGCATGGCCGTGGTAAAAAAGGCAATCTTGGAGCCCATCTTGATGCCCTCGACAATGCCGCCGTAGGCGACGTGGTAGTTTTTGCTCTTGTGGTAAAGGTACCAGCCTGTCGTCGTATCAGGCAGCTTGTGTGCGTGCTCGGCGCGGAACCGCATGCCCGCCGTCTTGCTGCCCTGCGCTGTGCCAAGAGACAATCCGACGAGAAAGGATGCGCCTGTGGTCACGGGGATGCGTATCGGGGTTGGGAGGGAGAGGCGCGAGTTGCGGTAGATGTTGTCGATTTGCTCCTGCGTCGGGAACTTGCCCTCGGCCCGCAGGCGCTCTATCTCGTCGCTGCTGAGCATTGCGCCGCCTTCAACAGCAACTGAGCTGTGAGCACATGGGTTTCGGCAAAGGTTCAATAGGTCACAGCAAGCCGCGAAGGTCGGAAACTGGTTCTCTTGGTGGAGTCGATCGGGATGCAGCTCAAAAATCGACTTTAGCGGTGGCCCAAGCTCCTGGTGCCTGACGCGACCCACGCGTCGCTGCCCCTCGTATTGTACCTGGAACTTTCACTGGAGAGCATCCGTCCAGCGACGCAACACGTCGCACACCAGCCAGAGTCTCTCCGTTGAAGGTCTGCCGACTGTGCCCAGCTCTGTCCAACTCCTATCAGGGACAATTGTTGCTTCAAGCCGCCATGGTAAAATCTCTCAAACACCCGTGGCTGTTACCCCGCTGACAATCCAGCCCCCACGCGCCACGCACAACCCGGTCGACGACCCCGAGTTCACCCTGCGATTGAAGCACGGCATACACACAGTCTTTCTCTTTGTCATGCCAGACTGGACCTTTGCCCAACTGTCAGCGGAGCTACTTGAGATCCTGCGCGATCGCTTCCCCGACGGCCTCCAGACCTCGACCGGCGCAAGCGGCCCACCGAAAACCACCGCCGTCCCCGACGACAACGACACAAAAATTGTCTACGGTGTCCCGAGGAAAGCAGACGATCTGTCGAAAGGGTGGAGGAATCTCAAAGCGAGCGACGATGATACCCTGGCGAGCAAGAAGTTGACGGATCTGACGGCTGTCGCGTTTGCGTTGGTGGATCCTATGGATGACGACGAGGAGGTCGAGTTTGAGGTTGAGCTTCCAAGCTTCGAAGAGGAGGAATAAGTGCGGTTCGTTTCAGCATGGGCGTTTGGCGGAAAAACGGGATACATGCGTGGTCTGGATTGGCTTTACAAAGAGGGCGTTACGGTGTTGGGCGAGTTATGGCAAAGCGCAACATGCAGCAATTTCCGGGGAGAGTTGACACATTGGAATCATGGTCATGATCTCGAGCCTTGTCTCTTTGGGTGGGATATTACAAGCTATTTACAAAATCACAGGGCGATGATGCGAGTGCGGTCTGCGGTTGTCAGTTTCGCTCAAATCAATCGTCAGGACAATTTACCCCTGACGCTTTGTTCCGTCGCTCTCCGTCTCGGACGATCTCCGTATCCTCCCGTCCATCGACTCCTTCTCGACCTCTATTTTTCTCGTCACCGTGATCCCGCTCTCCGATCCAGCCCTTTTCCTTCGGTCTTCTACCTCCTCTCCTACCACGGGTTGCCCCTCCCCTCCTTTGATCTTGTTCGCCAAGCGCGATGACTTGTGGCGCCCCATGTGTCGACTCGCATAATCCGGCGCGCGGTATACCGACGATGACGGGACATCAGCTGCGTTCTCCTGTAGCCCTTCCTGGCTACCACTCGTCGAGATATACGTCAACGGGTAAACGGCTGCCCCGGCACCTGGCGTAACCCCCTCTCCCTTGAACGGCCCCTTGAGATCACTCCCCTCCCGCTGGTATCCGTCGCTCCTACTCTTTCTCGAAAGGCCCCCCACATTCCAGTGTCTCAGCAACGGCCGCAGTGTTGGCAGGCTGGCGCAGAGGATCCCACAGTTCAGCTCGACAATAGACCAGTATGCCGAAGGGACATTATCCCAGGTCGGGTCTGTCGTGTTGATGGCCTTGTGCAGCGAGAACAGTCGAACGATGGAGATGATGCAGGTGAAGAAACCGAGGCAAAAGATGGAAGTCACCAGGATCTTTTGTCGTCGGGGGAGGTGAAGCGACCGGATAGCAGGAAGAGGAACAGTGAAGACGATGAAGTCGGTGACGATGTTCATAATAGAGGTGAGGTACCACACCGTCAGGCTGTCGATGCACACGGCGACCTGGCTAGGGATGAACAGCGAGACGGGGATGCAGGCGAATCCCACGAGAACTTCCTGGGTAATGCCCCAGAGGGCGAGGAAAACGATGAGCACGAGGCAGACCTGGCGGGTGTAGCCTCCTTCTTGGAAGATGCGGCGGTATTGGAGGAGGAAGGACATTTTGGTGACGATTTGCGCGAGGTTGTAGATTGTCATTGCCGCAAAGAGACACTGTTCCCGTCAGATTTATCCACACAGAGACCCTGTGACTGTGAACGCACCTTGAGCTGCAGCATGTTAGCCTCATTCGAAACCATCCACACATGTCGGCCCAGCGCATATTTCGCCTCTGTCCAGTCAGCAGCCCTCCCTCAACAGGTGTGATGCAGCACTCACGAAGAATCGTCACAACCGACACCCCCAAGCTCAACACCTGCGCAACCGCAATAGTCGCATCATCAGCCCCAGGCGACCTGACAATCGCAAAGCGCGTATACAGTCTGAGTCCCACAGCAATCGACGAAAGCGCCACAAAGGCAATCGACATGCCGACCAGGGTCGAAACCATCGACTCGGCATCCAACACCGGATCATCCCCGGGGACGGGCATTTTGTCACTCATCACATATCATTCCGGTTCTGACAAGATGACATGTCAGAAAAAAAGCCAACAACCGTTTGTCCGATTCAACGTGGGCTGCACCACCCCATTTGTATCTCTCCGTCATGTCAAAACGCAGCGTAGCGCATCGCAACCCAGCCTGGCCTGGGCCTGGCCCTGTCCCGCCCCGTCCGTGCGGATTGGAACCGAAGCTGGCTTGCGAGCGAGTCAGGAGAAGGATGTGCGCCCCGCATTCGGGTCGGCCAGTCACTCTTTTTTGGTCCCCAAGCAGAGCTGATCTCGCCGATTGGGACCGCGCTCAGTTTCTAGCCAGGATTCTGGGACCGGCGGCGCAAAAAAGGGGAAACTAAACATGCGGGGTAACCCAGCTTTTTTCTCTTTACTGCAAGTGGGAGTTCCAGGGGCAAATAAAGTTTGGGAGGGCCAATCTGACAACAGATAAACGAAACAGTCAGGCCATATTTTATCTGCCGCGCTGTACCGTGCCGGGCTCATGTTCATGTGTTATGCTTGTTGGATTGGATTTTAATGGGGACAGGGGAAACGAGGTTTTCGTTTCTTGGGACAGAGGGTTGGATTTGGGAACTTTAGGGGCGCTAGGACGGACGGGGTGCAGCTAAAGACGTCCGAGCCAAGAAATGTCACACCTGCGCACTGACGCTTGCGCACCTCCCCGGTGCTGTGGCTCACCGAGATCGACCGCCCAGCCCAATCAGCCACGCGGGACCCTGGATTCTCCACAAAGTCGACTGTCGGGTGACGCCTCGAGGTGAGGATGACCCGACGGAATGTGGGCTCGCAAAGGGAACTTCGATTCCAGCGTGTTTCGATAGTGATGCACTCGGCAGGGGTGACGGGATGTGGGGTGGTATTGGAAATGTCGGGAGTTGTGTTGAAACTACTGTGTGAGGCGGTTGGGAATTGTGGTGTTCCATTGCAGTTGTTTATTTGATGTTGTGGTGTGGCGAGGCGAGGCGGGACGTTGAAGCGGGATGTTGGGCGCGGAAGGCGGGATGTGGTGACGGCGCAACTCTGAGATCGGTCGAGAAGCCAATCGGATTGCGCATGATGTAAGCCGCTTTTCGAGTGCTGCAAGTAGAAAGAATTCGAGGGAACCCAAGATTGAATGCTCGCTTGGGAGTGTTGCGCGTCCTCGTTGCAAGTCGCCAGGTCAATATTTTGTGTGGAGGGCACATCGCGAAAAGGGGCTGCGACCACTTAGAACTTTAGCCCGTCGAAACCAATAGTGCACCGCACTAGTTCTTGACACGCGAAGCCGTGCCCAACGAACGAGCGCGGTAACAAGCGTCGCAATGGGCAATGTGATTGTTTGTCAGCTGAGAAGTTGCGCTACTCAGCACAATGCCCTTGTTCTGGCGTCAGGAGCGCCCCACCTCGCTTGTGCCTTTATGAATTCCATTATTCGCTGACCAATCATAACAAGCACAGAAAGCAGGTTGTGTAGTGTAGTGGTTATCACTCTGGATTTTGATTAGTCATAATCCATTCCAGTAACCCCGGTTCGAACCCGGGCACGACCTAATTTTTTTACTCTTGTTTGGAGGTGGAGATGCCTCGTTTTGGTGACTCTGGGGTGAATAAACTTGTTTTATAACGGGATTAGAGCTTTGCCTTTATCAAGTGTGGTAATACTGTGCTGGAAACGGAGATGACGACGCCGTCTCAGGAGGTGATCTTGAGATAAGACCTAGAACTAGCCTGAACAAAATTCCCTCCATATAGCTTCCTCGACCCTTAGATCCTTTGATGAAATAATGCGATTCAACTCTGATATTAGTGAACTTGCGGCATATCTTGCCGCATCGCATAAGCTGGAGTCAAAACACCCCTTCGCCGCTCAAAGGTTCGTATCTTCGGGGTCCAACCCGGTCAAATCAATAGGGATAACCTCTTTTAGATATGCACAATGATCCCTCGCAGGGACCATACATGATCTCGTAAGACAGAACCAAAGCTATCGTCCTATCATTCTTTCCAAGGGCGTGGTAGCGTGGCTGCATGCAACTGCATGTCAACAAATCCAGTTAACTACACCCCAAAAGGGTATCTCGGCGAGATAAACTTCCCAGTAAAGCGCTATTTCATGGGAACCGACATGTCACCTGTGTGTTCCATCCTGAGGCATTACTCATCCTTTGGCTCCTGCCCAGCTCTCGTTTCCGTTTCTGACTTTGCGACTCGGCTGTGCCTAAAGTTCCAGGCTCTACTCAATCCCGAAGATCCCCTCCAACGAGCAAAGCCACACGCCCAACTCAAACCCAGCAAAATCCAACAAAATAGTTTCGCAGATATATACCAACATGGCATCCTACGTCCTCCCCTCCCACCGCCAAGGCGACGCCCCCCGCCTCAACCGGCAACACTACGTCTTCCTCCGCCTCTTTTCCCACCTCTCGCACCCCCTCCCGCCATCCTTCTCCGGCACAATCCTAGACCTAGGCGCCGGCACAGGCATCTGGGCCTCCGAAATGGCCTCCCTGCATCCCCTCTCCAAAATCACAGGTCTAGACCTCCACTTACCCTCCGCTACCGCACCCCCGAATTGCACGTTTGGTACCCTCGACGCCGAAAAGGAGTGGGGTGTGGAGTCCAACACATTCGATATCGTACATACGCGCGCGACAATGATTTTGTTGAAACGGGATGAACATGAACGGATCGTGGGCGAGATGTTCAGAGTCTTGAAACCAGGTGGGTGGATCGAGTTGCAAGAGCTGGAATGCCCGTTTGTGGAGGAAGATGGGAAGGAGACGGCCACGATACGGTTTATGAGGCTTTGGGGAGAGGGCGCGGCGAAGCTGGGGTTGGATTTGGCGTTGCCGCGACGGTTGGATGGGCTGTTGAGGGATGCTGGGTTTGAGGAGGTTGGCGGGACGTGGCATAATTTGCCGGTTGGGGGGTGGATGGGCGGGGAGATGCAGTGGGTTGGTGAGGAGTTTAAGGAGTGTCTTAAGGGTGGGATTGAAGGGATTGGGAGGACCGTGTTGATGAAGGGGTTGGGCTGGGAGGAGGGGGAGATGAAGAGGTTTAGTAAAGAGGTGACGGGGGATTTGGGGACGGGGAAGGTGTTTGCGCGGATGAGGGTTGTTAGAGGGAGGAAGCCTTTGCTTTGAGCGGTAGTCCGCAGTTTGGAATGGCGGTGCTCCGTACGCCACATTGTTTACGCCTTTTGTGTTTCTTTATTTGTTTTAACTGGCTTGGTTCATCATTACCCTCTGGGCGCCGTAAAGCAAGAGAGGTATAGCCGAGTGGTCAAAAAATACACCCAAGTATTGTGTAAAACCGAGTTTTCTAAAGCTATGGCATCTGTGAAACATGCCTGCGTAATGTCTAGTGCCCAGGCTAGAAGCGCCAACAGAGCCTTGACAACACTAAGCTCGGCCAGGGAGGATCTTCTATGATACATGTGAGTGGTGGTTACTAATTACATGTTATTATACTCCGAGACCAATTTGAACGATGTCAAGATATTAGGCTTCCTCTCGGACACTGAAGCTCAGTTTGGCTGAGAGTGTGTTCAAGCTGCAGCTGTTTACCATTCACTTTCCCAAGAATGCTCGCATCGACCACACTCAGTCCGTTACGACCAAGATACTCCTGCGGTATTCGATCACTCGTTTGCCATGTCGGCGGCCGCTGCAGGCGTAGCCACCCAGCCGCTATTTGTCAACCCCGCGTGCCATATACACAGAGTGAGCTAGGACACATCCAGCATGTCCGTTGGTGTGACAGCACGACGGGTGACAAATCCTTGGCTGCTTAGAGAAGATACCGTTCACATATAACCAGACAGTGATCCGAGGTACCTAGACTGCGTGGCCGAACCCTTGCTGAAGTGAACGTACTGTGATACTTCGGTCCAGCGTACCCGAACAGCGTATACCTACGCCATCTTGTTTCCTGATAATGGGTAACTATTGGCGAGCCCATGTAATCTAGAATCACTCGGCGCTTCCCAAGTTAGGTACATGGGAATTTTGGAAGACATCACCGACAATGTTTCCCAAGGACATGATGGACAACGCACTGCTGAGAACAGACTCAAGAGAGATGAATTGCTATCCTGTAGACATGCCGGGGCATGGGTATCAAACGATTATATCAAGTACAAGACAAGACAAGACAAAGCCATTAGACTGCGACTGGGGAAGGCTTGACGTCAACCGCGTTCTTCTCATCGCTATGTCCCTCACTGCCCGACTCGACGCTGCCCTCGGCAAGGCGCTGCTGCTGCCTCTTCTTGCGAAGGAACTTGTCATCAATGAAACGAGTGATGGCGAGGATGAGAGCCGTGGCGATGACGGCATTGTTGATGGTGAAACCACGACGGTACTTGGGCCTGTCGTCGGAGCGGAAGATCTGGGCACCGTAGATACCAGCAATGTTGGCACCCATGATAATCCTGGTGTTGTTAGCAACCGTCAGAGAATAAAACCGACAAAGAAACTTACATGGCCATGGCGAGAGCGCGAACCTCGGAGTCGCTGCAGTACAGAGACATCCAGGCAATGTTGAGAGGATGCGAAAAGGTACCAAAGGTCTGAGTCCAGACAACACCAAAGTACTTGACACCCTTCTTGTCGTCGCCAAACTCGGCAAAAGAGCGGTTGAAGATGTGGCCAATAAGTGTGCAGGTAAGACCAGCCATAACAGTCTCGCCGCGACGATCAAAGTGATCAGAGACGAAGCTAAACAACCACGACATGGGAACCTGGAGGAAGAGACCGACAGCGGCCATGGCGTTGGACTGGAGGGCGAGGAAGCCGAAGCCGTTGACGATGGACGGGGCGTAGGTATCAAAGGCACGCTGGGGACCGTTGTTGAGGAGCGAGATGAAGACGTGGATGTAGAGGCGCCAGTCAGAGAAGGCCTTCTTGAAAGCACCGAGGTTGATCTTCTTCTTCTTCTTGCCCTTCATGGGGTCGTCGAGCAGGACACGAGTGCGGAGAATGTGCAGCTCACGCTCGTTAAACATCTTGCGGCCGGGAAGGAAGGTCGGGCACGGGTTGCGGAACGAGTCGGGGAGGAAGAAACCGTAGACGAAACCACCGGCGATGGTGAAGATGCCCATGAGGGTGAAGAGCCAGAACCAACCGGGCTTGCCACCAACACCACGCATGTGTAGGATACCGTAGGCGAGAAGTTTGGATGAGGCCTGGCCGAGCTGGTTGCCAAAGTAAAAGACCATGATACGCTTGGCCGACTCGCTGCGAGTGTACCACGTCGAGAGCGTCCAAAGACCACCGGGGATGAAGCCGGACTCAGTCATGCCAAGGAGGAAGCGGCAGGCGATGAACGAGCTGTAGCTGTTCTGCCACGACTGAAAGGTGGAGACGGTACCGAAGAGGAAGAGCTGGAGCGTGAGCCACTTGCCGGGCCCGACGCGGTAGAGAGCCATGTTGGACGGAATTTCGAAGAGCACAATGCCGAGCGACAGCATCTGCTGGCCGACATTGAACTGATCCTGCGTGATGCCAACCTCCTCCATCATCTTGTCGGTGATGGCATTGGAGATGTTGCCACGGTCGAGTTCTGCGGCGTGTTAGTGCCATGGCGACCGACGATGGATGACTGCCTGGAGACGGAACGTACGCAGACAGAAGAAACCTAGTGTCAGGATGGGCATGATAATAAGGTCGAGCCTGTTGCCGGTTAGCCGTGTGTCTCCGCGGCGAAGGCGGGTCCCGGGATCCGCCAAGACTGCCGATAGGCCCGGCAGACAAGAGTCCACTCACTTCCGCTTCGCCTTGACCTCCTCTTCGGGCGTCCAGTCGACCTGCAGGGCAAGCGACTGCTGGTCATCCTCGTAGATGTCGTCCCCGGCGTGCTTCTCTTCGCCCACCTTGAAGGGGAGCTTGAGACCCATGGTCGCGGCGGGTGGATCCTCCAGGAGAACTGTGCAAGTCGGCGGTGTCGGAAACAGAGAAGAACTCTGCGGTCGGGGCGCACACACGAACGAGCCTACCAGACTTGCTGTTGCATATTGAGGGCGTGAGCCAGCGGTCCTTATAAAGACGGTGCCCAGCCGTCGCCAAGTCGACTTGAGCGCCGCTCCCCCGGTCTTCTTTGACACAGACTCGACCGTCGGGACGTGTTGGGCAGCGCAGGCGTCGCCGTGCAGACTGGGCGCCTGGGCGTTTCTGGGCGTGGCGACGACGGCGAGGGCGTTTGCTGGGGGCCAGCCTGGGGGCCAGCCTGGGGCCCTGTCGTGGGCTCGTGAGGGGTGGGTGTGCCATGGTGAAATTCCCGGCAGTGAGCACGCAATCGTCGATATCCTGTCGGAGAGCAGAATACACCATCTTGGCGGACGAGGACCCGCAGACGGACCCTGGCGCTGTGGGCGCGAGCTGGGGGGGAAGCTGGTAGCTGCAGGCCGGGTCTGGGCGCTTGGCGCTGCACGTTTGGCGAATCTGATGCGCGGCACGAACGCCTCGAAGCGACCCAAGGGCAGCCTCAATATGTCGTCATCCGCGCCTGCTCTTGTGTGTGGGGGTTCTTCTTGCAAGCGTGCTGGAGTAAA